ATTTTTGCAATTTCGGTTTTCATTTTCAACATTTTTTCTCTTTTTTTAAAAATTTGAAATATTAACTAATTTTCTTTTAGTTTTACAAGAAAAATATTTTTTACAAGAAATTAATTACATACCCAAGAAGTCCAAATAAACTTAAACTAGAGGGTAAGGCCAAGCATACCCTTTTTTTAGTAACAAAGGCTACAATTTCTTCTTTCTTTTTTTTTTAATTTAAAAAAAAATCTTTATCTAGCGCACGCTTTAAATTTTTAAAGAAATACTGAAGGAAGAGTAGAGACAGGAATCCTAAATTAAAAATAAAAGGAAAAACAAATAAAGTTTAGTAGTGAAACAAAAAAATGATGTAAAAAAAAAAGAAAAGAAAAGAAAAGAACGTGTTACTAGTTAAAATTCAATTTTCATTTATCAGGCAATTAAAGAAAAAATTGCTTACAATCGATTCTCTACAGAAATAGCAGTTCGAAATGATTGCTATCGTGGTTTGTTCTCTTAAAAAAAAGCAAATCATTTTTTTTTTTTTTTTTTTTTTACATCGAAAGAAAATATTTTATCTAAAGTAAAATCTAAAAGTTTTTAAAAAATCAATCAATCATATCATGCGTTAAGAAAAATACTTTCTATATAGCAGATTTTAAGATATTATTGATGGAGAGGATTTCCTGGAGAAAATTCCTAAATTTACCGTAAAATTTTAATTTAAAAATACACTTGTCTTAAAAAAAAAAAAAATAGCTTAATAGATTTTTTTTACATTTTTTTATTTTTGTTTTGACAATATGAGGAGTTTTTGAATTAAAAATGTGATTGACTTATGAATAGCAAAGTGAAAATGACAATAAACAAGATTCAAAATTAAATGTTAGAGTTTATTAAGGCCAAGTAACAATACGTGCATTAAAATGCGTTTTCATATCAAGAAAAGCGATGCATTTTTTTATTTGTCTACCTGTTTGTTACTTACCTGAGCCAAATTACGTGTTGCTTAACGGTTATATAGTTTTTTTAGTTCTATATTCAGAAACCAACAAGAATTACTACTGCTTAATTTGATGACAAACAGAACAAAATATTGATTGCAAGAGTATCCAGTGGTAACGATAAATGTTTGTTTAATGCCATTTTAGAGAATTTAAAGAATATGACAAACTCACTGACAGTTACAGTAAACAATTGAAGATACAATCAATAGTGTTTATGAATTTGTCCAAGGACCAAATGTTACATTTTTACTTACTTGACATTCTTAATTTTTTTTCAGATTAGGCTTTTTTTTAGAATATACGAGAAATTTTCTAAGAATAATTTTAAGAAACATATCGATGCAAATGAATACTACGAGAATTCTTCACTCCTAACAAAATATATTTTGCTACCAAATTTGTGTAGTAACGGTAGAAAGAAAGAATCCAATTTAATTTGCCAAAGTTACAATTTTGATATCTAATTCAATATTTTTTAAAATAAAATGACAAACAAAATGTTGAGAAAAGAGAAACGCTTCAAGAAAAAACGGTTTTTGTTTTTGAAATAAAGTTTACTTTTTGTTCTTCCTTAGAAATAAGACAAGTTATGATCAATTAAATTATTAAAATTTAATAACAGCTTGTCTTATTTCTCTTACTTAGTCTTCTTATAATTAAATAAATAAGGAATGTAAGTGATTATTTTCACACTGCTGAATTCAAATCTGATGTTACTTATTTTGTGACAAATTTCATTTCTTCACTGGGGCGGGGAGGCGAAATCAAACTATCAGAAAATGGCGAGATAGAAAAATCGAAGTTATTCTTCCAATAAAAGTGTAGAAGGCCCTCCTTCTCCCTACCACCTTCAGCACAACGGATATCACCATGAAGAAATCACCTACGCAACCACAGGTTAACAATGACTTTTAAACTGAAAAGTCATGCAGTATAAAGGGAAAAAAAGGAACTTTTCACAAGCGATACACAAATGTAAGAAAGAACAACACGCTAAAAAAAAAAAAAAACTAAAAAGGAAGTAAAGAAAGGGAAAACCTGAAAATATACACAAGAGAAAAAAAATTATAACAGATGTAGATATGGAGGGAGACAGCAGTAACCACACAAACAATAACACTACAACACCTACAATTTTATAAATAAACCCTGTATTTGAGGGAGTAACATTTTTTTCATAATGTCATTTGAAACAACGAAATAAAGAGGGATTGTTTTTTTTTTTTTTTTTGGCAATAGAAAAGTTAAGATTAGAAAATATGACCAAATTAATTAACATGACAATTATTTCCTTGTTTGAAATATATGTTCGCAAAATAAAAACTTTGTTCTCTCTCCACCAAACCAACACTTATTAACATCTTTTTCGCTTCAGCAATATCTATTTATTATAATATACACGTGTATGTATGTATGTATGTATGTATAAATAACATACAATACAGACATGTGTACACACACACGAAAATGCGAACAATTGTCGAAATTAAGATGCATTGTTTCTTTCTACTCTTGTCATGTAGTAGTAGTAGTTAAAAGCCTTACATACAAATAAAATTGCTTTCATTGTTACGAAAGCAAGATTAATATCTTTCTTTATTCATTTTAATTTTTTTTTATATAAAGACAAGTGGAAAGAAAGAAAAATTAAAAGAGACACGCGTATAGAGTTTCTCTATCCAAACTTGTTTCTTTCTCGCCACAGTAAAGTTCTTCACCCCCTCGTCTTTTTCGTTGCAACATTCCAAATGTAGGTCAGCATGTCCACCTTCGTCCCTCACTAAATTCAGACAAGCTAATATTTATTTTTACTCTAGCTAGATTTAAGTAAAAGTCACTGAAGTAGACTACATATTCAACTTATTTGAGTAAAATATATTTTAAAGTTTATCAGCATTTTTCACCTGGAAGACATCACAAAGGAGAAAAAGTTAAACTAGTGAGTGAAGAGATGGCTTTCCCGTTCCAAGATTTTTCTTGGAAAAAAATAGAATAGTAACATTTTTTTAGTTTTTATACCCAAGACAGACGCTAGAAAGTTTTAAACAATCAGTTTACAAACTGTTTTTGCTTTTTGAAGCTTACAAACAGGGATTTAGTGCCACAAGAAAGAAGGAAAAAAAGTTTAGTTTTAGTAGTAGGAATAATAAGATAAAAAGACGGTCTGGTGGAGGAATTGCCGAAAATGGTTTGAAAAAGTAATTTTTATTTTGGTCTATTTATGGAATACTGTATGACAAAGCGGTTTCTAATAAATTGTACAAGAAGACTTCCATTTCCACTAAAGTTGGCCAGTTAATGACATTTAAAAAACATAAGATGTGTAAATAAAATTAATAAAAATAAATTGTTTATAAATAACTGATATGTTGTTGTATGAAAGAATTAAAAAAATTAATGTTAAAAATATAGTTTGTCACAAGTCGTCAAATTTATTTCATAACATCAATTTTTTTTTTTTGCTATTTTTTTTTTTTTTAATTTTAGACTAAAATTTTTAGTTAATGAATGACATTTAATAATGATTGCATAAAAAAACAGTAATAAGTAATAAATTTAATTAGACCTAAGGGTTGTGTAACAAATTTGTCCGTAATTGTTAAAATTAAAATAACGTCAACTAAAAAAAAACAAACAAAAAAAAAAAACACTGATCACAAATTAAGAGAGAAAAAAAAATTAAATTTAAATAATTTTGAAAATATTAAATCTGGAGAAATAAAGTCTCATTTTGGACAAGTCTTTTTAATCAACAATAATAAAGTGCGAATTCACCTTTATTTCTTTCTTACTCTCCACTACTTAATTCTCAATCAAGTCCAAAAAAGAAGACTTGTGTTTTAGTTAAAATGTCTACTACTTATCGAAAGCGGAAAATAAAATATAAAAGAAAGAAAAACTTGAAAATGACGACTATTAAAAGTTGTCAATATCGCAAAATAATGTCTAGAACTAGGGGAAAAATCCCCACAACGACAGGACACAAGAAGAAGAGAGAGAGAAAGAAAAGTGGAGTGTCCGGAAGTTCCATGGCCAAGCTATGCCAAGTATTCCAGAGATTCAAAGCCCGTCATGCTGAGGGAGAAAGACAGACATTGCTGCCATGCTTGGGCTTGGCTTTGGCATACCTTCCGACCCATCACTCACTCACTCCATTTTTCTCTCCTCATCCTTCGCCTCTTCACTGCCTCCCACTCTCTCTACAAAGCCACTCCTACTCCAGAAGTTTTTTTTTCTTTTTAGACATTAATGCCATTACATCTTTTACTTTCTTTGTAAGTTTTCCATTTGCTCTTTCCTTTTTTTTTTTTTTATTATGATTTAGTTTTCTTCCGCCGTTTTGGTTTCTACATTAACTTTTATACAAAGGACATAGTCCTCTTGTTTTGTTTTCAAGTCTCTTCTTATTCAAACTTTCTTGATTTCCCATCTATATTTATCTTTCTTCATAATGAAGATTGGGATTTTCTCTTTCTCTCTAAGTTCCACTCCGATGCTACCTCACCTCACACTGTCCAAAAGAAAGAAAGAAAGAAAGAAAGAAATTACTAAGTAGGAGAAACAACTTTCTTTCTTTCTTTCTTTCTCCACCTCCTCTTTATATAAAACTATGTGAAAGGAGGAGGAACTGCTACTCTTCTTCTTCTTTCATACTCACACTCACCTAACCCACCCCGTCTCTAAACCTCATTCTTACACTCACTCTCTCCTTCTATCTGTATAAGTAGGCAACCCCCTCCACTACCACTTTTCTTAGTTGTGTGTAGGAAGACAAGCCGTATGAGGTAGTGTATGAACGGCTTTCTATGCATGTGCAACTATTTGTGTGTCAGTTGGTGTCTGTATGCGTAAGTGGAGAACTTTTTGTGTTGTTTCGGCGCCTGCCGAGGGGAGCCACAAGCGGAACACATTATACATACATACACACACACACACTACAGGACAAGTGACGGAAAGATTACAGTCGGAGAAAACGGTCAAAAAGACGAGATTGTCTAGTTTTTTACTCACCAAAGGCCGAGATGGTACGACACGCCGTTTCTAAAAGGTAACGGAGATGTGGAAAAATCAGACAATTTTTAGGTTTCAAGAAGCAAGCCAGGCGCTGGTATGTGAGGAATGGCACAAAGAATCCTGACTACGTACGGCCGGCGCCACTGCGCATGTGCCGCGCAGAAGGGGCGGGACGACTGGCATGTTGGGAGAATTTAGACATGGCCAGTAACACATCTCTCACGCACACACACATATACAATAAGAAAGTATTACTGTTATTATTATTACTACTCTTAAAACTTTACTTTCATAGTCAGTGGCTTTTCTTTTTGGTTTTAGTTTCTTGAGGCTCTTTTTTCCCTGGTGATAGGATTCGACTGTATTCTGGTTTGGTTGAGAAAACTTTTACTTAAGTGATACTTCTGAACATGTGGCTTTTAGTTTTAGTTGTTTTTTGTGTATTCATTTTTTTGTCCTTGGTGTTTATTGAAAATTGTTTTGTTGATACATAATGATATTTATTTTTATGTCTGTGCATGGTTAGAAATGACTAGAGAGTACAGATTTAAATTATAAAAATCATTCATCTTGACCTAAGTATCGCGATCTTTAATTTCCACCTATATCTCACGATACACGCACTCACAGCACGTAAATCTGGCCGAACTAAGTTTTGTTTACATTTTTATTTTTCTAATTTTGTTCTTTCGTAAGTCATAAAAAGTACAATATTGTATAGAAAGTGTTCTATCCCCACTTAGTACATTTCAGTATTAGATATGAACGGCTTTAATTTCTGTTTTAAGTTGTAATTGTAAAAACTAAAGTCATGTCATGAATTAGAACTTAGGAAATGGGACTTCATCTTTTAATTACAAATTTCTAAATTTCACTTTTAGAACAATACTCAAAAAAGCTAAAACCTGATTTTCATCGCTTCTAAACTTTCATCTTCCTCATTAAGCTAAGCACTTTTTTACTTTTTATATGAAAATAGTGACGTAACACGTTACTAAAATATTTTTAGTAACTTAAAATTGCTTTCATTTTCGTGATATTTGACAATTACGCAATAATATTTTCTTGAACTGGTGACTTGAAAATCTTGGTGATTTTCAACAAATACAACCTTTTTAATGCTTTTGTTACGTATAATGCAACAAGCGAAGTTATTTAATTTGTTTTAATTTAATAAATAAAAAAAATAAACATTTATGATTTAACGTTGTTCGTTCTTGAAAGTTTTAACAAAAAATAAAAGTAAAACTGTTCCGTACATTTCTAAATTTCATTTAATTAAATACGAGTTTGCCTCGCTAATTTTACTTTTTTTTTTAAAATTCTCGCAATGACTTTTTTTTTTATTTTTTATTTTTTTTTACAAGAATTGACGCGCATATCATTCTTTAAAAATAGTTTGCAAGTTTTGTATTCTAACTGCGCTTGATATGTATTTTAATTTCTTCATTTGTGCTTTACCGTGACAATGTAAACTTAGCATTTCTCCATTTCATATCAACAATAATTCTCTCTAGTTTATCAATTTCAACAATCCTACCCGGAAATCACACACACAGAATTGTGAATTCACTTCTATCATGGCTACATACATCCAATCTTTATCAGTTTTCTTTATTTACTGAGCGTATTTTTCTTTTCTTTTTCCTTCTGATTGCCTTGTCTTCCGGAATTTGACCCAGTCGATCGTATTTTGGGGGTCGAAATAAATCTTGTGTATGTGTGTCTGCTAAGAAACAACTTTAGTTTTCTTCTGCCATATTGTAAAAGAACAAGTATTGACTTTTAAAAAAACCAAATGTTTTACTTGGAAAATACTATATTCGTTTTGCTTTTAATTCTCGAAACAAAAACGTGTATTTAACCTTGTGACAATCGACACAAATGCTGTCCTTATCACATTAACTGTACTTTCCTTTTCTTGTTGACCATATGTTATTGTTTACATTCTTATCATTTTATGCATATTCAAAACTCCTCAGCAAATACCAGAGCAGGAGAAATAAATACCGCTCAATTCAGCAGTTTGCTGCTCCACAAAAAGGTGCAATTAGGTCACTATTTCTTTTTATGTCGTGTGAGTAACCTTAAATATTTTTGATAGCATTATTTTATTTACAGTTTGTAAAGTTTTTCGAAAATTTAGATTGATCGTTAAAGTTCAAAGTGAAAATGAAGTTTTATGAAAATTGATCATTACAGTAATAATTACGTCTTTATGATGAAACTGATTACACGCTTTTTTTTTTTTTTTTTTTTTTTTTTTTTTTTAAAGTTTTTCGTCACTTTCGCTTTTTGGGTCTCTTTTAGTTTTAAATAGTTGTAAATTGTTATATTTTCTATTTTAACGTTACATATTTGCCGTTTAGGCGGCCTGAATTTTTTTTTTTTTTTTTTTAGGAAAAAAAAATCCAAAATGTTTTTAATTTTTTATTCTTCATAGATTATTATTCCTAGATTTATTCATTATAATTAAATCGTGAAAAGAATCTAACCAAGTTTTAAAATTGTACATTACACGCGTTTTGTTTTTTGTTTTTTTTTTTTTGTTTTTTAAATACATACACAAAATTCTTTAGGCTTGATTTCCATTTCACTCAGTAACTAATTTTTTAATTTAAAATAAATTTAATCTTCGGTCTTTAAAGAAAATGCGAAATAATGATTACAATATCAGTTAAAAAAATCTTTTTATAGGCTTTGAAAAATTTATTGAATATTTAAAAAAATTCAGTTTTTTAATTTTGTTAAATGATTTTCTTGCATTTTTAAATTTTTCTGTATTTCTATTTAGAGTCTGGAAGACTGATACATCAGAAATTGATTTTAAAATTTCGTCTTTTTTTTTTATAAAGTCCATTTATTTTACTTTTATTTATTTTTTATCAGTTTTAGCCTGTGGACGTATAAAAAAAAGAAAAAAACTATTGCTCATAGTATTTTTAATTTCTACCCTTCCCTGCCAAAACACTTTCGAATCTTTTTTTAAACCTAGATCGTTCAAAAGCAAATTTATACAACAATAACAATCAGATTTACATTTTCATACGAGTTTTTATTAGCGTGAAGATTGGGGTTCAATCCCTTGTCGGAGCACATTAACTGTTTTGTGATTTATTTTTTCATAATGGTTAGTTGTGTAGACATAAGCGCTCTTAAAACAAATTACATTTTTTCTTTTATAACGACACGTCTGCTGCAACCACGTGTTTACTTGTAAAATCCACTTACAAAAAAAAATCAGTAAGTTCTTGTAAAAAAATTATTAATTAATTTAATAAAACGAATTCCCAAATCGACAGATGAACTCTTAAACCTTGGAATATTTTTAAAGATATAATTTTTCTGGTTATTTTATTTTACTAACAAGCTTTGGTTTGGCATACGTCATGACTCATGACTGAGTATGAGAACTTTGTGGGGATCGAAATCATTACAGGGCAGTCGGTGTGTAATTACTAGGTACCACGGCGAGGCTAAAATTTCATAGTTGATTTTAAAAATATCTTCAGTTTTTTTTTTAATTAAAAAAAAAAAATCAAATATTGTTTGTTGTTTTTTTTTTTTAATTTCATTTATATTTTTTAATTTTTGATTTCATATATAAGTGATTTTTTTTTTTTTTGCAAACACCATATCTCAGCTGACCGCCTAATTAACTTTAGTAACTTTACTTAAAAAAAGATTGAGACTCTTTAAATGTGATCCACTAGCAATTGATTTCAAATATTGATTGAAGATCTATACCACTATTTCGTGAATGAAGGAGAAAGAAATATGCAAATTTCTTTCTTTTTTTTCATTTTAAATTTTGATTGCCTATTTCTGACAATTTTCAGTTAAGTTTGTTTAACCATAACGATCACGATTTTATTTTTGAAAAATAGAATGGTTTAAATGTCGAAAATAAGTCACCAATGATTTAAAAATAAAATTAAATGTTTTTTTTTTTTGGGGGGGTAAACATGTTTAAAGTTTTTCGCAAAAAGGTCATTCATTTCATTCAGACGCTTCCTCCCTTTTTATTGCCACAAATGTGCACTAAAATTTGAAGAGACTTTTAGAAATTTAATTAAAGATCCTTGAATTTTTTGATTTACAAGAGGGTGCTGAAAAGTTTTGTCCGAAAACATGACCAAACAGAACTTTTTTATTTTTTGTTTTGTAGTGCTGAAAAGTTCTGGGCTGTACTACCGTTTTTACAGTTTACTGGTCGCATAGGACTGATATTAGTGTGAAGAATGAACTTAAAAAAAAAAAAAAAAATCTAATAAGACTAGGTAATGATTTAAAAATGTCTGTCAGTGCGGTAGATTTGTCTTCCAATCCTCCAATGAGGCCCGAGGTGTATTTGATACATTGTGGTGAGATTTATTGCAACACTATTTTTATTCCATTTTTTTTTTTTTTTTGTAGTCAACTGTTATTCTGGTGTTTGATTTTTTTTCAACACCTGAAGTTTGTGTGTGTGCGTGAAATGAGTTTTATATTTATGGGTAGAAGTGCTAAATATAAGGGATAGAGACTGCATATTTAAATATAAAAAAATGTGGACACTGAGGCCAACACCGAAAAGCGAGTTTCGGTTTAAGCTTGCAGATTGCACACTAGTCTATATATACATATCTCAAGGTGGGGTCCATAAGTTTTCTTTGGGAATTTTGGAACTTATTGCGTTACCTGACATCTTAAGTGTCAGACGTCACCTTGGTTTCAAAATTTTGTCCCTAATATTTCACAGCATCTGGTTCTCATTTAGGGTTTGTTCACAATGTGCAACAAATTAGAAACAGAAGCACTTGACACAACTTAATGGATTCTGTGTTGTTGGATTTTTTGTTTTTTTTATTTATTTATTTGTGATTTGTTCTCTCCCTTTCTTTCTCTGTGTGTTTTCCTCTCCTATCTTGCCCATTGTTTTTCCTCTCTCTCTGTATTTTCATCTTTCTTTCTGTGCTTTTCTGCTGTCTGTGTATTCTCACTCTCTTCCCACTTATGCTTTCTGCCTCTGTGATTTCTTTACATTTTTCTGCTGTGCTTTTTATTTCTCTCTCTCACTTTGCTTTTTTCTGTTTTCTCTCTATTTTTTCCTTTGTGTCTCCGATTTATTTCTCTCAGTATTTTCTCTTTTCTTTGTTTCCTCTCCTTCGTTTCTCTGTTTTCTCCTTCGTTTTTCTCTCTCT